CTCCACTATCTGTAAACACTGTTTTCAGGGTTGCAAAACTCTATTTACAGGACCACAGAACAAAGTCCCGACAGGAAAAGTTCTTACTTCAGAGGACTAACTCCCCATGGCATTTGCAGTGGGTTTGGGATGGGAATGCTGGTGCTATTGTGGATATCGGTTGTCAGGTCTGCACTCTTTCCCTGGCATGGCTTTGAAGTCAATGCCTATCTATGGTTGGATATTTCACATCAGTTTAGAGAGTGACCCAAGAAGGAATTAAGCAGCAAATTGAGATCATGAAGCCACTGAAAGGAACCATGATTTGATCCCAACCTGCTTACAGGGAAGTAAGTCCCACAGAGTTCAGTGGGATTTTATCCTGCCTGAACAGTGTGATCCTATGCATCCAGGAGCCATTCAGTGGGGCTTCCTTCTGAGCAAAACCATTCCAGATCAGGGTGAGGACTGCAGGGCTTTCCTTTCCAGCTTTGCAAGCCTAAGCAAGTCCCACTGAAGTAGCTGGTAAGGAAAGATGTTCAGGATGGGATGCTAACCTTCCTCCCCCGTTTTGTTTTTATTGCGTGTGTTGGCTAGAACACGTTGCTTATATCTCACACAACATTTTTATTTTACATCTAGCCATCCTCACTGTTTTGGATGGTTTAAATAACCCACATATAAGTCCAAGCCATTTCTGCCAGGTAGGTCAAGAAGGTAGTGAATCCTTTTTGCTCCTTTAAAAAAACAACAACAGATGATTCAGATATATGCACCTTGCCTTCAACTAAAGCCAGAGATCTAGTTGGGGTGGGTAGGTGTGGAAATAAGGACATTGCCCCAGCAAATAAGAGTTAACCTTCCCCGCTGAAATTTTCTTCCAGACTCCAAATTTCTAACATTGCAAAGAGTAAGACACTGAAAAATCATCCACACCCAGAAGTCTCTTATTTGCACCTTTTACATTCCCTTGGTAACTATGCTCATTCCTTTTCTTTGGATGCTTACATTCAGTTTCTAAATGCTCAACTGATATTTTAGGTTTCTATAATGCTGGAAATTTGGGAACTGATGGAAAATGTAACTGGGAGGCAGAATTCTTATATTTTGGGGGCCCTCTTTTTGCCCTCCCCTATAGCTACACCTCTGTGTAAAATCTACTCACCTGTTAGTTCTGTTACTGAGAATCAAGGTTAACTCAACAGCTACCCTGAAGAGCACCTTCCAGCATTAAAGTCTCTAATAAACGACGACGGTGTCCCATTGATTCAGTGAATGGTTTTTATAAAGAGAGGGATTCAAGGCAGTTAGGATCAGACTTGGCTCTCCAGAAGTATTGGGGTAGGAAAAGAGAAGAGTTTAAAAATATTTGTAAAACAGGGAAGAAGTCCGATGATTTCCCACTTGTTTCGGGTGACAAGATCTGAGATGCTGGTCGAAAGGGGTCCAGAAGTGGGATTTATTTGGAAGGGAAGTGAGAAAAGAGTTACTTTGACCCTTCACAAAATCCGATCCTACTATCAGAGAGTAAAACAGACCATCTTTAGCTTACCTTTCTCCCTAACTACTATGACCTGGCTCTTTTTAATGTGATCCTATAGGCTGAGGGGAGGAGGAGGAGGAGAAGCAGAAGGGCTTTCTTATGTCTCTTCTTTAAAAAGCAGGATGCTTCTCATTGTTGTGAACGAAGTCCTGATTTTTCTGAGGCTCTATTTGTGTCCTCCCTCCACACGCACACACTCAGAGAGAGAGAGTTTATTTATAACTAGATCCTGCTTACAGAAAAGTATTTAAGCCCTTTCAGGCAGAGCTGTCAAATTTTGCCTGTGTTCTTCTTTGCCTCCATTTGTAGCAAGTTTGGGGAGGGAAGGGGGAGGGAGGAGAGAAGAGAAGAGAAGATGAAATTGCCAAGCTTGGAATAACCAGGTTCGGGTAGAAATCTTATGTGACAAGTTTCCGTCTCTACTATTTCTTGGCTAACTACCTGTCATTTTTTTTTTTCTCAGAACCCCGTTGTTTTCTGCTTAGCGAATGTGTGTGTTGTTTTTTTGAGCTTGTGATAGAGCCCTGCCCCAAATCAGCAGCTAGATTAAAACGTGCTAAAGGAAATTTAAGAGAGGAGGGAATGTTGGAACAATGTGAAGCCATGCCTCATTTTTCCTGGAGCAGCTTTGACAGATCTCTCTCTCTCTCTCTCTCTCTCTCTCTCTCAAAAATAAGCGCACACAACTAGATGTTGAAGAGAAGCATGTGACTCAGATTCCTGATTTTCTCTCTCCTCCCCCCCCCC